CAAATTGCGTCAAAATGCTTGCGCATGTCCGCCCGCAACCGCGAGAGCAAGGACAAGGATGGTCTGGGTTGCAACCTCCATAAAACCGAAAGGTCTCGGCCACTACAAGTGCCACCAGACAGCGGGCGCCGTGTTAATCTGTCTTCTACATAGATATATAGCTGCAAAAACACAAAAAATAGAGATTTTACCTTCACTCTTCCAGTTCAACCCATAGATTCCAGCCCCAATTCGCGGTGCTTTAAGGGCCAATCTGTTTTTTTTCATCAGTCTAAAATTGCACAGTGAAATATGCGCTTAGTCTGCTTTCCAAATGTGAGATCTGATGTCATGAAGCGTCCAAAGATGCTTTTTCAGAAGCGTCGTCATTTTCGTCCACCCGTTGGCCGCAACTCAATATTAGCTGTGCGGCCTGCGGAGACTGCAACGCCTGTGGTCGAGGCTTGTGTTTCTAAGATTTTCGAGTGCGCATGCTCAAAGTTACGTCACATAGCTTGTATTACTAGTCGATTGAAGTTTTAAAGGGTAACCATTTCAGAGGTGTCATCATTTTCGTCCTACAGTGGGCCACGGCTAAATATTTTATCTGCTGGGTTAAGGCTTCCGCGGACAGGAGACTGCAACGCATGGTGTCGAGTTTTTTTTCTAAGATTTGGAAGTGTGCATGTTAAAAAAGCACGGTACATAACTGTATCACTAATCGATTCTGACTGAGTGGGTGAACATTTTCAGAACAAACATGGCTTGGCCATGTTAATACACATTGTTGACCACTCGATCTGCAATCAAATTTCAACTTCAAGTTTGGATCAAACATATCGATCTACAAGCTACCTTCGCGATGTCCTCAATGTCTGCAGAACCCGGATAAATTGTTTTGATAAAGCATCTGGATTCTGTCGGTTTAGAATGAGTCTTCTAACCATTGCAAATTAATAGCGCCGGTAATTTCTTCCATACAGTCGTTCAAACGCCTGATTTCTGCAGTTTATTGACCTCAAAACACAAACAGAATGAGCTTGTGATTGCTCTCCTGGTTTCTGTTCTGGTACAAGGTAAAAATAACAATAATGCGAATAAACCCGGTGTCACTTGTTAACAGGTAAGCTATTATCCGGGGGACTTTTTTTTGGGGGGGGGGATCACCGTAAGATGGGCTTCGTCGCCCTTGTGTTCCCCTTGGCAGGCTCTGGCTACGCCCCTGCCTATACACAAAAGCAGATCAAGTCGTATACATTGCAGTACGGACAATGAAGTGTCCGTTGGGCCAATTCATTCCTTAGGCAGACAGCTTCCCGGAGGCTATTTTGTGCGATGGTGCGGGTGTGAGGGAAGATAATTCGGAACAAGATATTGTTGCAGGTGTTCCAACACATCTTTCATACCCATGTAGTACGCCGATCCAAAGCATGCAACAAAGCAGCCATTGCGATCAGTTCGCAGTCAGTCATGCGGGAGACATCCAGGCCAGGGGCAGTGGCCACCGACAGCGGACAAGAGCAGGGCCCAGATAAGAAACATATGACAGATGGGCCTTAGTATGTGGCTTGATTTTTAAAAGAGAATCTACCGTTTTATGGCTTTTGTCACGTTGTTTCTAGCAGTTTCAAGCTCACGAATTTGTTTCCGCCTAAAATGCTGCGACAAGTCTCATCTCTTGAAAAGCAGCCAGCGAACTGAAGGCGCACGAAAAATCTGTCGCACTGTGAGCCACCGATCCACTTTCAAACTCTCACCAGTCTACGTCCAGGGCCATATTTTAACATCTACACTGTGGAGGCAGATGCTTCCTCAATGACCCAAAGTGCCTACTCGCTCGTGGAATTTCGACTCCCCAGGAAAGACGATAATTAAATGGACGAATAATCTAGGGAAGCTGGATAGCCTTATTTGCCAAATGACAGATCAGTCGAATGGGCAAGATTGTGCACCAGTGAGAAACAGCTTTAGATGGATATCTAGCAAAGCAGACGTGATATTTGAATAAAGAGCGATAATAACCTGCATCCCCCCCCCCCCCCGCCCCTCGGGCATCGGGCTCGCTCGCTCGCTCGCTTTCCAGACAAAAGTTCCTGAAGTACACCCTGAGGTGAGCCCCCACTTTTGGAATCGTTCCTGCACGTATGCTAACCCATAAACCGGTGCAAAGTTCTGTGCTCCGGTGCACGAGGCCTCAACCGAGCTGTCTGCTAGAGATACGTTAGTAGAAGGAGGAAAAGAAAACGCCAGCGGGAAAAAAAAGACAGATTTGCTGTCGCGGTCTTCTCTTTTACAACTTCGGGAGGGTGCCATTTCTTGGGTGTCGTACTTTTTTGCAGAGAATGGCGTTCTTTTTTAGAACATTGGCCTGTGGCTTAGAAATGAGGAAAAATGACCCGTTCATGACGAGTGTCGCACAGCCCGAAATTCCTCACGCTTGTGTTCGCGACACGCATTCAGCAGGTGAAGAGAGAGATATCACCTTGATAACATTTGATACCCCATTCAAGCACTCATTCCCTTCTGCTGCAAGACCTTCTAACGAACCATATTAAACACATCAAACTTACCCATCATGAACAATCCAATTGAACAGCTACAGATCTTGTAAGTCTGTTTCTTACCACACAAAGAAAGCCCTTCAAACACTCAGGATGATGAACTCGTAGTACTCGCCAAAAACATCAAGGTGCCATAAAAATGATAAAAGAAACGGATGGTGCGTTTGTAAGGCGTGACGTGCGGCTGGCGCGCTCGGATTTGCCGCGGGTCGGCCGCCGTGTGACCCTCGGTCAGGGGGCATACACGCGCAGCCGACGGCGGAGGGTCATGTCGATGTAAGAGTGTCGTGGCTGGAGCTGCATCGTCAATACGACGTGAAGCAACGTAAGCTTTACACACGCGTTTTGGCAGCAGCACCAGTGACATCCCACGTCTTCATGGGAATGTTTTTCTTTTGAAGAATTGAAGCATGCATGAAATATGATGAAATAAGCTCACTTATAACAATGGTTGCACTCTCAAGTGAAAAAGACTGCTCTAAAAAACACAGCTGCTCAGGATGATAAATATTCTCTTCAAAATGCTATTGTTCCATACGTCACCGTTCTTTGCACAACATTGATTGAGAGCCAAATGACGGTCGTTATATCGCAGAATCTTTCTCGCGAACGTCAGATAAAAACTACCTGACAATTATATATTTGTTGAACTTGATCACCACATGGCTAATACCATGCCAGAATTTGAATGACGTCATCGTGGCGTCATGGATGCAGGGGTGATCTTGAAATAGTCCCCTTAAAATAGTCTGCACACCTTCACCGGGGTAAAGCTCAGCAACTAGAGGGGCTTGGAAGAGGATTAGAGGACACTGGAGGGTTTTAAAAAATAGGCAGAGCTGTGAACTGCGCTGAATGCCCGTCAAGATAGCTTTCAATCGTTCGAAACTCCATACCTCTGTGGAACGGTCCCTTTCATGGACGGTGCCCATGCGAATGCCAAATTTTATCGGTTTTTGAAGGTGAATGTGATCCGCAGTTTCAGAACCGCAAATGAGATCGTCGATGTGCTGTTTGCTGGTCAAGTTTCGAAGAGACAAGCTAAGCAGCCTGCGAGTGTGGGCTTGGCTTCGGTGCCTCAAAATGGTTATGTTTTTTAAGGGTGCATATTCGTTCAGTTTCTTCCAACCTCTCAGTTTTCACACTGAGAACAGCAGAGATGCAAAGGCAAAGGTCACCAGTTTCAGAACGGCCGATGAAATCGCATGCGCTTTATCTTCTGGTAAAGGTTTCAAGCAGATCGGTTCAGCAGTTCAGCTTCCGAGTCTGGACTCGGCGGCAATGCCTTAAAGTGGTTTATGCTGTTTTTGAAGGCGAAGATGGTGACCTGAGGCCACCAGTTTTAGGATGGATGGTGAAATCGCATCCTCTCTATCTTTTTGTAAAGGTTTCAAGCAGATCGGTTCGGCGGTTTCCGAGCTTGAACTTGGCTGCAATGCCATCAAGTGGCTTAGGCGGTTTGAAGGTGAAGATGGTGGCCTGAGGTCACCAGTCTGAGAACGGCCAATGAAACCGCATGCTAGCTCTCGATTGGTGCTGGTTTGAAGAAAATCTGATCAGCAGTTCCGCAGTTTGAAGTTCGTTGCATGAATGGCAGTGAAGTAATGTCGTCCATGTAAAATCACTAACAACGGCTACCCGACTACTAATCCATGATTGCACCCTTCCTTGGGAGCTAGAACAACGGCCGAATGTACTTTTCGTCGAAACATCACAAATGTTACTTCGCGAGTAATGCATGTTACGCATTTGTGGGTCTGGTATCCTGACACTTCAGGAGCAGCTCTGAGGTGCCTTAAAAAGGAGGAAAATGAGATCACTTGAATTTTTGGCCTGGTCATCCGCTTTCACCGGTCCCAGAAGTCGCGCAATCCCTTGGACCCAAAATCAGCTCTGTCGTGTCATGAACTGGGACCACAATCGGTCATTTCTTAACAAAATGGCCTCGTACGCATCGGCATTGCAGACCACCGGATGTCGTATATTTCCAACCCGAATGGTATAAGCACAATCCTGGACGTGAAAAGGCTGCCGTCACCAAGGGTCTGCCATTGTTCTGGCCAATTTTCCCCTCTACGAACATCCCCCCATCGAAGAAACACCCGCCAGCCTCTGGACACCAGGGCTGCTCCAGAAGGACAGACCGACGGTCAGTGGTCGCTCATGTAACGTGCCTCAGTAGACTGCTTTCATCTCCAACAAAAATGGGGTACTTTTCCGGAAATGCACGTGTATTGAAACCAAACAGTCACACAACGCAATCAAACATAACACTCGTTTCAAGCATCACAATAAATAGACAAACATATAAGTGTAGTCGGTGTATACTGTTCTCATCCAAAGAATGAAAAGAAAGGACTGCACTCAGAGTCACTGGTATGTGGGCTGGTACTGCGGTGCGGGGGCGGCCTGGTAGCTGGGAGCAGGGGCTGCCTGGTAGCTGGCCTGGGTCGCCGGCACCTCCGGGGTCGGGTACTCGGTGGGCACGGGGGTCGGCAGGTGGTCCACCCTGTGGCTGGAAGCCGTTGGCGTCGGCCGCGTACGTCACGGTGTAGCTGACACCGTCGTCGCCGGTGTAGCTGTACTGGCCCTGGACGGCGTAGCTCTGCTCATCTCCGTAGCCGGCCACGGCCTGGCCAGACTCGGAGGCGTAGATGCCGTTCTCAGTCTGGAAGCTGTGGAAAAGGAAGTATTATAAACAGAGCGCATTAGCATGAACAACAATCCGTGCGAACGTTTACTGCAAAGTGGTCAACACCCACTAAAGGCCGTGACCCGCGGATACACTATATCATGTACCTTGCTAATTTTGATATGTGATGGTACATTTCAAGTAACTCTAACTTGGCTTGCAATTTTTAGATAAGGCGATACATTTGAAACAACCTTTTGATTCCTGGAGCAGTTTGACTTTTTATCACCATTCGAATTGGTTGAAGCAATGCAGCTGTAACTGCAAAGTGATTGAAACCCCAAAATTTGATGCATCCAAACAGCCACGTAACTTTCTCGGTATTCAAAACGCTTCCTTAAAAAAATGGATGTCATGCTAGGAGTAGATAAAACGTATGCTGCGTTGAAACCAAGGGTTTGGTCAACCTAAAAAATGAAATGGCGCTTGTTATAGTTCTCTTTATAATAACCTAAGATTAGAGCAAAAAAAAAGAAATCAAGAATCTATGCACCGCAAAGAAGCGTACATGGAAATTATTTATTGCCGAACTTAGCAAAAGCTACAGACACATGCATCTTTGTACCTAACTGTCTATAAGCTTAAGTCCACATAAGAAGAAAGATATGGAAAAGCTAGCGTGAAAACGGCTTCGTTATCTTACCTGGAATCGTAGGACTGGTCGTCACGCAGGTCAAACTCCTGGCTCAGGATCTCGATCACCTTGGGGGAGTACTTGGGGGCAGCAGGAGCGGAGTAAGAGGGCTGAGCAGGAGCAGGGTACGAAGGCTGGGCAGGGGCAGAGTACGAGGGCTGAGCGGGGGCAGAGTACGAGGGCGGAGCGGGGACAGAGTATGAGCGCGGGGCGGGCAGCCTGTCGGCAGCAGCAACGGCCAGGACGGCAGCAACGATGAACTGAAACAAGTCGAGTTGTCCTCAAAACATGTAGCAATCAATTTCCTATGCACGCGATGCTTTACATTTGCTTTACAAAGTCGTGCCGTCCACATGGCTTGACTTTTGCCATGGCTGAGGTATTCCACTATATGAACGCGGTATGAAAACTTTTTATTACAGCTGGCGATGGCAGTTCCAACGGACGGGCGTCGGATAGATAACTCTTCAACGTCATGAAAAATAGCCAAATTGTCGTAGTTTTCTTCCGTTTTAGAGCAATTTGCGCCAAATGTATACCTTGTTCTTAAGCCAGACTTTAGTCCCGTTCCAAGACACTAGGCTGGACCCGCTCTGGTATCCAAAAATGCCTTACAAAAGGAGAAATGTCTTGCCCGGTTATCTGCTTACTCTCTCAGAAAACGTAGCGGTGGAATGGCTTGTTCTAGAACACTACTCACCAGCTTCATCTCGGAGTAGGGTGTGTGTTCTGCGGAGTGCAGGGATCTAGTGATGCCCTGCACCGGTCAGCGGGGCCTTATATACCGGTCCGACTGATCAGCTGATATTTGGCGAGACGTACACTCACCATCCCCGCAGCGTTACACTTTTACACGGACAAGGTCAGTGGAGGGCAGCCACGATCTGGCAGGGACAATGGCTGGAGGCTCACCGTACGGTCTAGTCTGAGGCTGAGACAATGCATATGACGGTGATGTGTCTTGGCAAGCCTAGCGTAATGCGTTTATCCGGACGTCAAGCGGGAAGTGGTCTGCTGGTGGGATCTTAACACAGTGGGCGCCACGGAATAATGAAAGTGAAAATGATACGATTCAGGTGTTTAGCAGATGCGGAGAAAAGCACGCACGGCAGCCAGAAAAAGTCCGTGAGGAAATTTCCTCTTGTGTGTCAGGTACCCATAGCGACGAGACTCCCGATGCAGAAATGAGTAAATGTGTACTTGAGGTGCGCTGCAGTTTGTACGTCTCGCCTTAGTTGCCCAAATTCAGCCACTTCTCGAGACACCACTGGGGTAACGTTGAGCCCGGAAGGCTAATGACAATGCTGCGTCTGTATGGTAGGATTCGGTGGCAATGGGTCCTTTTATGGAAATCTTCATTGATCAGTCTATAGAGACTGTTTTTCCACACTTTTAAACGTGGACGTCTTTAAACACCAGGCTGTCTTCCGAAATGCACTGCTAAGAAAACAGGGTGGCCTTGTGGCTCCTCATAGGAATGACTACTTTTTAAAAGGCGGCACGTAGGAATTGAATCAAATTTCGCATTTTTCAAAGCTATAATCACGAACGACTTTTTGCAAACATTCTTCAGCCTTGAGAAGAAACCCAACGGACGGCCGGTTTCAACGCGATAGAAACAATGGAAGCCGTGCGATGGCGACGTTAGCGTAGTGTATCTTGGTGCAACGTTCGAAGTAACATAAAATAGGCGGGTGAAAGAGAACTGTTTAGGACAGTCATACAATTCAGCGCCATAACAATAACGTCAACATGATAGGGTTCCCAGAAGACTAATCTGTTTGCCCAAATCGCGGAAAATCCAGTGAAAAAGCCTATTTACACAAGCCGGTTTGCACCTTTCTTTGAATTACTACAACACAGACGCACGCCTTTGCTCCTGACGCGTACGAAGAGACGAACACTTTTAGAATGAAACAGACTGGTGACAGACTTGTTTTCTTCTGAATACTGCATGGTTCTAGCTGGCAACAGATCTTATTCGCATCACTGAGCTGTTCCCACTTGAGATCTTAAGATGTAGCTTGAGCTCTTTTGGGCTGGTAGAACGTAATCGGGCTTGATTGGGTGCAATGTGTTAACGGAAATCGTCACTTTTGCCTTCCCACATGGAGCCTGCATGATATGGAATTTACCCTTACTCCGGGTATCGTAGTCTCGCTGAACTACATAAATTTTCAGTAACTTGGACAGCCTTCAACATTCAGCAGACTTTTGGCTAACTCCACAATTAATATTGATGCTTCTGTACGTTACGGCATGGCCAGATGGCCTCTGGCCTGGCCTGGATGGCCTCTTTAAGTAATATCCTCCTCGATGTATCATTGTTTGATTTCGTCGTCGTGCCTCGCACAACATTAAATGAGAGCCAATTGACGGCCGTTGGAGGTTATGCCAGGAAACGCCAAATATGACCGACTCAGCCACTATATGTTTTGGGGCCTTGATAGGCACATTGCTTATAGAATGGCAGGTTTGGAATTACGGCAATATGCTTTTCTTGGCCTTTATCGGCACATTGCTTATAGAATGTCAGGTTTGGCATGGCGGTGTTATGACGTGAGCGCCAAGCTCACCTAGACATACCCTCACCGAAAAAGTCACGGGCATTTATCAATTATCTTCGCGGGCATGTAGCTCAAAAACAAAAGGGGCCAGGTCTTAATATAGATGCACGACTGTGAACCACACCATATGATCTTCAAAATGTCTCTTTCAGTTCAAAACCTGATAGAAATGTGGAGCACTCACTTTTAAAGCAATTGTTATGCTCCAGAACAGCTGAGCTCTAACCGACAATTTTTCCTTGATTCAACAAGAAGTTGGGCTATACCACTGTTTATTTTTGGCATAATTCATTTAAATTCCGCGAATAACGACCATTCCATGCATCTTGATGCAATACAGCTAGGCTACCGGAAACCAGCAGACTCTGGATCCAAATATGTGAGTGTGAATCAGCATACTTTACAGGGGATTCACAGCCCACGCGGTTCGTTGGGACGCCGTTTTGAACCAGGTGGAGCTTGAGTGCCTTCATGTCATTATGAATATTTGACGCCACCTTAAAAGACAGCAAGTTTACATTAAATCCCAGCTAATCGTGCTCCTGCACTGCTCCGTATCACAAGCGGTGGCGGCCTATCTTAGCACGTATTCTTGGTAATGCATGTTGAATGACACCTCGCGTCTCATACTGTTGCTGTGCTGAATTGTTGATGGCGTAAACGATCTGTTCAGGTCTGCCTGTTGTCATGGCTGTGTGAATTACGCACATCCTGTGATATTTGGCAAGGCTCTCTTGGCAGGGGCCCAAAATTTAATAGTTTTCCTTTTCTTGGGAGGCTGCGTGACGCCATGTGTGCCATATAATTGTATAAAGTATCGCACGATAGAAGTGACCAAAGCCAGTGGTTGGAAAACCAGCTTTCGGTTTGGCGTGTCCAGCGTGTCTCACGCCAGATAATGAGTGCTGACCAGTACCAGTCAGCGTCAGTCTGGGCTTGATGGCCCATTTCCCGAGACGGGACAGGGCTGGGTCCCGCAATATACATGTCCTAGGACGATGAGGGGTCTCCTATGTCGACCTTGCACTCACAGTGCGCAGCGGGGTGGGGGTTCGTGCCGATTGCATTCTGACGCTGGCAGTTACAGTATCCTGACACCTCAGACAGTTTTGAGGTGGCTTAAAAGAACAGTGAAAGAATTAAATGGAGATACCGTATGATCTGGTAACACCATATGACCAATTCCCGAAGTCGTGGAATTTGTTTAACTCAAAATAAACTCTGTCATTTAAACCCAGCTCCGCACGCGATTCGTCGACGCTAATCTGTTGCCCTTTGACCCCGACCCAGCCATCTGACCTACCCAGTCCATTTGTCAAGCCCGAGGCCGCATAGATACTTGGTTTAACAGCCAACAAGCGGAGGGGCGATCGGCAGTGAGTCACAGGCCGGGGTATAATAGAATGAAAAACTATCGACATTCATGCCACCCTGGTGACCGAATATTGGAACACTGCTCTCAATAAATGTTGTGCACGTTGCAATGACGCGATAAAACAAAGAGGCATGTAGGAGTATATCTGCTAAACAGAGGAATCGTGCTACCTAGAGCAGACTTTTTACTTAAAAGTGTACCAATCATTTCAAGTGAGCTTCTTTCATCAAATCTGATGTTTGCTTCAATGTCTTCAAATGTGAAACATTGCCTTTAAAAATTTGCCATTTGTTCCCAAGGCAGACATGACAGGGAGCATTTTGGCACGCCACTTTCGTAACAGGTCGTACCACGTGCACATTAACTACTATAGCGACGGCGAGTCACCTGTTGAACCGTCCGAAATCAGTATGTTGAACGGACGAACAACATTAAAAGGAAATGTCATCTTCTTCTACCAAATGTTCTAGCCACATGAACTCACAGCCAATGACATTACGTCCCGCTTCAACTAAAATCCTCTCGCACGTTTATGTAGGCTGACGCAACGGCTTACGTTCCCTTCACATAGTGATGAATGCCATATAAGCTGGTATTGCTTCATATTTGACCAAGTAAGCTTTGGTGTCGTCAATTGGCAAGTAATAGCCTAGCCATTATTAATCTTGACTTGCGTTACCCCCATTTTATTATTATTTGACGTTTAAATTGAAGAAAAATTCAAATGAAAATGCTTATGCAATTTAAAGCATTTGTTGCACGTTCAGTTTATGAAGCACAGTTTACGAATATAAAACGCTGTTGAGACGAATTGCACGTAACTAGCACAGTTCTGTAAATATGAAGCACACGAAGTACTTATGACGTACATTCACAAGTTCAAGAAAAAAGTGGCCAGACATACAATGATAGACCAAAACAGGAATGTTTCATTTTCATCTTTCTTTTCCTACCATTTGCATATCCCTTTCTTTTGTTGTGCACAAAAGCTGGTCATGAAGCATTCATGCTCCTCTGTGGCACGAACACGTACTGTAGAAGCACCTTCACTTCACGTGTGCACTTCAGGATGCTCGCCTTACGTGCCGACTGCATTCTATGTGAGGACCCTAACCCTCCCCCATCCTCCAATGTTTAGTTAAACCCCAACAACTTGGCATGGCGGCTCAGTGTTCTTGGCTACAAGACTACAAAAAGGTAGGTAAATTTGGCCATCACATCTGCAATTTTGATTTCTTTCTGCGAGGTGGCGTCTGCATGACTACTATACTACTTACAGGAAATGTTCCACATTTGTATGGGTTAGCGAGGCATTATTAAATTAGGGAAATATTTCACCCATGTGGTTGCCACAAATCTGAATCTTGAACACAAATTATGTTTTACAAATAGAACCTCTTGAGCCGCATTACCATGAAAGCCCATTTGGAACTTTGTTTTGAAGGGAGGTCACTGTGAAAACCGGTGTTATAACGAAGATCTGTGCGGAAATTGCGAGAAAACCTGCAAGTTGATAGTACCGCGAGCTGTGCAAATGTCAGATCACACTCAGTTGACAAAATAGTGTGAATCGGGGTTCGAAATTTTTGTCATCATTGATGGTGTGTGCCAGTGGGTTGTATTGATCTTGATGTGATGGGGAGTGTGCATACGATAGTTGCACTTCTGAGAGAGAACATTGTTTTTGTATTCTTCAGCCTACTGACTCTCAGTAAAATATGATGCATTGATGCCTGCCTCCGCAGATGCAGGTGATGCAGCCTGATGGCTGCAGCGTGTTGCATGACTGTGGAA